TTAAGTGGAACTAATGACACTGAATTTAGACTGGATTAAATGAAGGAATTATGAATAAAGGAGGAGAAATTTGAAGCAAGAATCTTTTTTTTTTTATAGAATTATGCGTGGGTAAAAATCCAGACATTTAGGAAAATGTGAATCCTTATGATGTTTTTTTTTTCTTTCTGTCTATCTTTCTGTCAAGTTTAATTGAAAGGAATTTCTTTATACAAGTGATGTTATATTCCACGAATGACATTTCAGGCCTTGAAGAAATTAATTGCAAAATGGCTTTCGTTTGTTTCTGTTTGTGTGTTTGTTTGTTTGTGTTTTTTTTTCTGCTTGTTTCTTGTCTGTTCCCTTCTGCTTGTGTCTCTCTCATTGTCTCTTTCTCTCTTTTTAGACCCATGTCGCCCTCCTCTCTCTCTCTCTCTCTCTCTCTCTCTCTCTCTCTCTCTCTCTCTCTCTCTCTCTCTCTCTCTCTCTCTCTCTCTCTCTCTCTCTCTCTGTCTCTCCCTTCCTCCCTCCCTCCCTCCCTCCCTCAATCCTTTTCTCACTATCTCTCTCTTTGTCTCGCTGCGTCCTTCTGTCAGTCTGTCTGCCCGCTCTCTCTCTCTCTCTCTCTCTCTCTCTCTCTCTCTCTCTCTCTCTCTCTCTCTCTCTCTCTCTCTCTCTCTCTCTCTCTCCCTTCCTCTCTTTCCATTTCCCTTCCTCTCTCTCCATTTCCCTTCCTTTCTTCTACCTTCTATGCCTCACCCTCTCTTTCTCGCTCCATGTTTTAGTCATGATTTTATTTTCATATCACTCTTCGAAATACCCGGTTATATTTCCGCTTCGTCGTTAATAATTGAAGGGCTCTCCACAACATTATGAGTTTGCAAGAGCGATTCAAATTTCATATTTATTTGTTCGAAATTGCCTACTTATAGCTTGTTCTCTTTTGTGGTTATTTATTTATTCATGTCTTTGTCTATTTCTACTATCGTTATTGTATGTATTTTTTTTAACCACTATTACTGTCAAGGATTTCCTTTATTGCAAAAAATCGCGTATTCGTTTATTCATGCAACGGTGCAATGCAACAGGCGTTCTAATACATTACCCTGCATCAAAAACAAAAGAATAACAACTACAACATTATCACTATCATTAAGTTTTAAGTCTCCATTCAGCTTTCTGGAATATTCCACTTAATGCAACACAGACAGCAACAGCGTCTATTGCAATGGGACAGGAGCTTGTTGCATGCAATTGATTTCCCAGTCAGGAGAATTAAGTAGAAGAGGTGTTTCTGGTTTGCTGCATTGACGTCAAACAGCGGGAGAGAAGGGAGGAGGAGGAGAGGGAGGGAGAGAGGAGGGGAGGGGAGAGAAGGAGGGGGAGGGAGAGAGACGGATGAGGGGGTGAGGGGCGGGGAAGAGAGGAAGGGAGGGAGAGAGAGGGATGAGGAAGGATGGGAAGGGAAAAGGTGGTGAGAGGAGAGGGGGGGGGGTGAGGAGAGAGAGGGAGAGAGAGGGATGAGAAGGAGATAGGAAGGGAGGGGGAAGGGAGGGAAAGAGGAGAGGGGAGAGGAGGAGAGGGAGGGTAAGGATGGCGAGAGGAAGGGAGGGATGGGAGGGAAGGGATAGGGAGGGAAGAGATAGGGAGGGAAGAGGAGGGAAACAATGGGAGGGAAAAGACGGAGAGGGAGCGGAGAGGAAGAGAATAAAGGAGGAAAAGTGAGGAAAAAAGCTGAAGAAAGGAGTAACGGAGAGATAAAAGAGAGAAGACGCGAGAGAGAAGGAATGAGGAAGGAGGGGAGGGACATGGGAGAGGGGGGGAGCGCTATAACCAGCGAAAAAGATTTAATTTGTCAGTATTTATCTTCTCTTTCCATCTCTCTGCATCTTAATTTCTCTTTTCTTGTTTGTTTGGTCAACCTGTTTATCAATCTTTCCTTCCGTCTAGTTCTTCATTTATCCAGTAATGTTATTTTCATTATTCGTCCATTCACGTCTGTCTGTTTGTGAATGTCACTATAATCTCATATATTTTTAACATGACGTACACACACACACACACACACACACACACACACACACACACACACACACACACACACACACACACACACACACACACACACACACACACACACACACACACACACGCACACAAACCCAACTCACCCCTTACCCCCCCTCCCCCCACCCCCACCCGCACCCAAGCGACCGAAAACCGCGGTTTGTATTCAGTCCAGTGGTTCTTAATTCTCCGACTTCCTTCCCGGTTACATTTATTGGGGATTTCACAGTTTTTATGTTTTTGTTTTTTGTTCTTCCTCTTTCTCTCTTTTTTATTGTTTTTTTTTCTTTTCTTCTCAGTTATTTCCCGCAAACTGAAGGGGAAATTGTACTTGATTAATTGTAAGCAAGATTACTTTTACTTCTTTTTCTTTTTCTTCTTCTTCGCGAAAGAAAGAGAGAGAGAGAGAGATAGGTAGATGGATATATATATATATAAAAAGAGAGAGAGAGAGTATATGAATATTTATATATATGTATATATACATATATATATATGTATATGCATATTCATGAATATGTTTATATATGTATATATATATATATATATATATATATATATATATATATATATATATATATATATATATATATGAATATGTATATA